GATTTGCTTATAAGTGCATTTTGTGTTTTTTCTAAAAGATCGAAATATTTTTTCCATTCTTTTTTCCGTTAGTTGTTAACAATTGTGAATAAGTTGCACCTGTATCGCATAAAAAGTCGTAGATAATATTTCTGACCAGTTCGCATGTTACGTAAATGTTTGTGCAATGCAGTTCAATATTTTATGTTCTATAGGCCCTACTAGTACATTAAATATTTTTACCAATCACAGGGCGTGACTGTTGTTGCTGCGGCCGGAAACTCCAACGATGATGCGTGCGGATACTCCCCGGCTGGTGCTAGTGAAGTGTAAGAACATATATTTACTATACTATAGTGTCAAAACGCGGACAATTCATTTAATATAGTTTGTCCATATATCTTTAAAAACTGTAAAAGCTTACAGCTAGCCACATGTTATTCTCAACGCAGTTTTGCTCAGAGTGAACTATCTGAAAAATAAGATTTTCCCATTTTCCAGTGTCTGTGTTGCGGCCAGTACAAACCAAGACGCCAAGGCTTCTTTCTCCAACTACGGGTCTTGCGTTGACATCATTGCCCCTGTGAGTGTAAAGTAATGCATTCAACCGTTTCTGTTACTGTTAAAATGTTTTCATTTGACAGTTTTCACAGCGTTGATAATTTTATTAATGCTTATTTTACTAGAGTTAGAAATGGGAAAAATCACTCTGTCATGCCTTCAATCTCCAAATACTAACAGAATATGCAAATCCATAAACCTGAAAACGATTTATGTAGACAGTGTACCCATAGTGTCAGGAAAGAAAATGTAGAACCCTGACGTTGATCTAAGTAAAGCTAAAATAAAGTTCGACATTTATGAGGGACCCAAGAAAGGGCGTAATAGACCGGTACCTCTCATTCAGTCCTGAAGCACCTCTCTCTCTGACCCCCATCTCACTTCACTCGCAAATGTATAAGGCGACGAAATAAAACCAAACTTCTTTCCTTGTGCCCGACATATTGTAGTGAAATTGGCCTAGTCTGCTGTTTTAAAATGTTCAAGTGAAGCAGCTCAAATGTCTTTGTCATATTGTGTCCCCCACCCTCCCCTTACAAAACCTGGACCGCCTCTGACTTACAGTTGATCTTAACAATACCTGTTGCAGGGCCAATCCATCTTAGGAGCTGACGCCAATTCCGGAAGTGGATCTGTCAGCTTGAGCGGTAATCTCTCTCTCTCTCTCTCTCATACAGTGCATCCGATAATTCATGACAGTGCATTTAAAACCCAAAGGTGAAGCGATTAAAATTATTTCGATTAAAAAAATGAAATTTGGGGACATTAGAAAGTGACTTTATGTAGTTATGCAATGACATGTAACCAAACTTTTTTATATGCTCAGCGCGACGAGACGAAATGTTTGGCTAGCAATTAGCTTTTGGGAACGATACATTTGAAGTTTTTGGGAGGTTTTATAAGCTAAATCGACAATAGTTTGGTTGAAATGGCTTTGGAAGGTTCTATATGTAGGTTTATATGTTTTAGGTACATCTATGGCTGCCCCACATGTGGTAAGTACATGTATTACGAAGGAGTATAACACATATGATGCATATATACATATGAAAATATCGGATTGCGTTAGTTGGTGTGATTCGATAATTATAAGCGTTATATATGTTTGTAACCCATTGTTCTTTAAAGATTCATTTGAAAAAAACAGGTCGTGTATGTGTATTTTCAGCGTCATTGTAGTTGCATCACATTTCTCACGATTCGTTGTAAATGCAGAACTGCAGCTGTTGCTACTAGTACAATAAGAAATGTAACTTTTGCTTTATGAATGCGTACACTTAAAATTTAGGTTTAGACGCTCTCACATTTTCACAAGCAGGATCTTAGGGTTATTAGTCTAGTTAACACCTCGTACACTTTTTAAATATATATTTAAAAAACTGAAATTTATGAAAAAAGGTTTGGTCTTTTTCCAGGCTGGAGCAGTAGCCTTGTTTTTGGGCAGCTCACCGAATGCCACCCCTGATGACGTGAAGTCTTGGCTTTACGACGGGTGAGATACATTTATATCTGTTTTGTGTCGGTGACACATATTTTGTGTAAGATTTGTAGAAATGTTTAGTATTGAATAAACTAAATTAACAGAGCTAAGGCAACCATTGTTTAATCATCTGTTTAATCTTGAACTTGATATTCAAGATAAAGACAGGTAATTAGAAGTTAAATATTTTAAAAATTCACTCATTTATATGTTATTATTATTATCATTATTATTATTATTATTATTAATGATAAAAACTTATACATCAGAACCGACAGATAATATTTAAACATTTTTTCTACACGACTACAAACATCATATCTTAAAGATGAAATCGAAAAATGTTCATCATTCCAGAGCAACCATGGACGTCATATCCGGTTTCCCCGGAAGTACACAACCAACAACAGCGCCACCTGAACACATCTGCTGTGCCCTTGACTGGGACTTCTGCTGCCCCTCGTCCTTGGTTAGACCTATGGCCACACCAAACAGGTTCCTCTTTGTTGGAAGTGACGGTTCCAAATAGTCCCAAGGCTCGGGACTTGCCCGGCGTGCTTAAAAGACAACACGAATAAAATCTAATGTGTTATGAATTGCTAAAGTGACTGAGATTTATTGTTTCATTTTTGGTTGATTGGGTGAATAAAAATTGCTTGGAGTCGATTTGTGTTATATTGAACTTGCTGTGCCGATTTTGCCTTCATATGTGGTTATACATATGTGGGGTTGCTGAAATTATATTCATTTTCTAACAATATCATCCAAAACATCTTTTGGCTAGCAAACTATATGTTAAGCCATCTGATATCAAATGAATATTATATTTTTTCTGTGAGCAGATGTATAACAACAACTACTACTACTGTACAAGTACAGCTACCGTTAAAGACTTAATTACCGGCTTAACAGCGGCGACAGTGACTCCCGCTGTGGGCGACATGCGCTGTCTATCGTAATCCCCCTATCATTAACACTGTCGGGGGCATGCGCACTAGCTCGTATGATGTAGACAGCGTGGGCTATTAAAGTGACCGGGGACTTAATAGCTACACGGTACTACTTCTACTACTACAACAGTTGCATGTTTCTAAGTACGATTTTACAGAAGAAAATAAAGATAAAAAGCAATAAGAGAGATAAAGTAAAAAAAGGACATTGAAACAGAGGGCTGTACCTCAAGTTTGAAAACTGAATTTAAAGATCAGCCACACGTTACTGTTATATCGATCACTATTCTATCAACTGCTTTCACTAACTGCAAATTAATTACTTAAATAAATTCAAATAAGAAAAATTAGCAAGTTATTAACAGCAAGCACGCTTTTCTTTAAAATGCATTGGAAGCGAGTTGACTGTTAAATCATTGCCTATACAAACCCAAATGTCACCGTATAATTTCAAATAGCACAACTGAAAGAAATCATAAGGGTATCGTTTAATATATCTTGTAACGTATATTCTGCTTTTTTCTATGTTTTGTATAAACTTCGGTCGTAAATTTCCACCAACTCTAAATAATCTTGCTTTTGCGCGCACAGCAGTAACGCACGTCCATTTCTCTATCATTTGGCGGACTTTTACGAACTGGAGAGATAAGCCAAATTGACTACTAGAAACTTCAAGAAGGTGAAGGCTCTTTTGGCAGACAAAATAATTAACTTGATTTTTTTGGGTGGGGGGGATTCTGCAATTTATTTGAGTTGTAATCTGGCAGTAATTTTTTTATGCCTCAGAGGGATTCTACATCATATATAACTTCAAGTCAACGATTGCAAAAAATGTTTTCTTATTTGGCAAGAATGGAAAATGTCAATGTCAGGTAACGTTTTAGTTGCATTGACTGGTTAGTTTCATGAAAAAAAAAAGTGATTTGCCAGAACCTTTGTAACTGCTTCAAACTAGTCTTAGGGAATTTTCCAACTATAATGCATTACAGATGATATTTTGGATATCTAATTGTAAGTGATGTAAACAAGACTCAAATTGATTCCATAATAAAGAAATAATGAAAATGTTGATTAGCAAATAAAAATGGAAGCTTCTTATGACCACACAAAAGATAATGTACAGAAAATATGCGATCCGCACAGTGAGATAGAACATAAATACCTTGGATAAAAATAAATTGGTGAGCATACGTTTGAAAGTGTCAAATCGTTGTTGCTGTCGTCACTATATCCACTATGAATCCAACTTTCGTTTGCTTTATACATGTATATTAATTCTGTATCTTATCGTTTGTTACTTGGTCCACTCCCAACGGTTGTTACAAAGAATTCATTAAAATACGCCTATATAACATATTCTCAACATTATTGTCTAATTTAAGTGCGTATAAAGAATTAAAAAAAATTGTCCTTCATGGATCACTACTGGAATAGTATCCCTGCTTGTCAAATGCATCTGTCATCCTGCGTTAGTTTTATCTTTAACGATTTTTAGCGAACGTGCCACGTGTGAAACTCCTTACATCGTTATCAGTAAGGACCATTAACCAGTTTCACAAATGAACTCGGTCCGGAAACTGCTCTCAACTTTTCAGCCAACATTTTCGTCAGCTTTGTACACTAGATAAAGAAAAAAAGTCGTCCAGATAGATCTAATATTGTGCCTGTTTTATAACAAGAAAACGTGGTGAACACTTAAGGCAAATGCATACTGAATTTAAGCAGAATGTGGGTTCAACAGAACCAGGCCATATTTTATAAGGTCTAAAAGTTTAAACAAAATCCCCAGCCTACGTTCGTTTGTGAAACTGTCCCAAAATTATTATCAGACAATTACAAACTGAGTGCCGGCGAAAGCACCAATTATAATCCTTAGGTAGGAGCCTGCATCCGAACAAGAGTGCTTCAACATTTGATGGGCCATATAGTCGCACTTAGGGCATCTGACGGCGGCACGAAGTTCCCAGGGTGAGGGGTTCCATACTGTATAAAAAGAGAGCAAAATGTACACAGCAGCAGATTCTGGTCCTAGGACACTGAGAACCGTGAGTATTCTCAAAATGGTTTCAACGTGATAATAATTCATTGTTCGAAATAACACGGAGAGGGGGATATTATTGCCCTCTTCTCCGGTTTTTTTAAACCTTTTTAGACTTTTGTCTACAAGGGTGTAGAAAGTAGCTGTGTTTTGAGCAACATTTCACGACTAACACGGGCGATTCAAGTAACGGGTGGGGATTTTTTTTTTTTTTTTTTTTTTTTGCTCTTTCTGTTTACATTCACTTTAAATGTTTGTAGGCATGTCAGAGTTTTGTCCTGTTTGGTAAAATCGAAAGTGTCTTGTATAACTGATTGATTCCGATTGGCATTTCTTTTTTACGTCTTCAGTTTTAACTGGCTTCCTGTGGGTCTGCCATAAGCCACGTACGCAAAGTAAAGTTTGTTTTCATTTTTCATAATTTAGAAGAAGATGAAGGTCCAACTTTTGTGTTTGGTCGTTGCCTTTGTAGCTGTTGCTAATGGCAGAGGTAAGTTCCACTAAATGTGAAATGTGTAAGTCGTTTTTTCTGTTGTAATCGGTGGCCAAATTGTCAGGTGCGTTATATGCTTTAAGCATCAAAACGCACAGTACCGAATTTGACGCCGTTATAGCCAGGATCACTGCTTTTCCCTTAATCTTTTTTTCCGTAATTTATCTTTTTTGTAACGCCGTAGCACTGCCAGTTAACGTTAAGGCAATTTACGTTTCGTTTATGTATGTTTGATACTAATCTTTCATGTAACTGCACGTACTGAAGTACAAGTGTTTCTTTGCGCCATTATACCATTAACTTCCAGTTGCATAGGTTTCGTGATCCTGAAGAATCGAAAAATGGGTCGCTTTCACAAAAAACATCGATCATACATGCTTGTCAGTTCAGCTTTATAAATATTTATAACAAATATTTTGACATTGGGACAACTTTCAGCCCCTGTGCTTATGTCATCCCGCAGTAGGGACGTAGCCGGAGATGGAAGGACGTTCATTGTGAAAGTGAAAGACAATGCCGACGGTAGGTGTCGCTTTATTGACTATTAACGTTCCAAGACAGACCTGTGTGTGTTTAACGTTTGCATTTGAATGGTATTATATTTATTGCATTTTGTGAAGGAGAAAAAAAGAGAGAGGGGCGTAGGGGGGTATAGATGGTTGGATGAGAGGTACGAGAAAGTGACAAAACATCACTGTTTGTAAATACTACGTAGCCAAAACGAGGACAATTCCTCGTGTTACGCAGGAAGAAAATTGTGAACGTTTCTTGGATTTTAACTCCTTTCACCAATTCCTTACACTGTTTTTGGGGTACGGAGGGTAAAGAGGGTGCCTCACGAGATTCACGTGCAAGCTGTGGCCCTGTGGACTCGCCAATGTCATTAAAGATGGCTCCAATGTGATATTAATATTTCTACATTTTCCTACCCCCAGTGAACCGTGTCATCATGAGAGGACGCGTGGTACTGAACAGACTGATGGCCGCAGGCGAGGAGCCCTCCGACGCCGACGTCGGCAGCAGGAAGATGGAAATCGGGAACGCCAAGTTCTTCACCATCCACGCTAACTCCAGGTAAAGAGAGACAAAGAGTTCTACATACAAAGAAATGAAAATAAATGTTCTTGTCTATTCATTCAATTGTTAGTCGGTAAGCTTGTTTATATTGCTATGAAATACGGAAGGTAGTGAGTACACGCGCATTAAAAAAGGAGGCTACCCTAATATGCTTAATACTTTTTCCAGGCTCTTGGAGTCTCTGCAAGATGATGACGACATTGAGTTTATTGAACAGGACACATTGTTGTACGCTTCCCGAGTGGCTACTAACCTATGGGTGAGTAAAGTCCCCTTGACACTGGACGGCATCTCCTCTGCGTCCTGTAGTATGGCCCCGTTTGAGAGCAAAAATAATAATAATAAAAAACTTAAAGTGCCGACAACTGGCCGGCCATTGAGCATTCATTCTGCAACCGAGGCGATGCGTGTACCTCCTTTCTACGACCACAGCGATGCCAGTTTCATGGCCGCACAAAGGACACAGAAAGGACCCCGCCAGTGTAAAGGGGGGGGGGGATTAAGACTGGGTTCCCACAGATTTAGATCGATCCATCTGGATCGACGTAACTCCCTTGGGGGTTCACGCTAAATTGCTATCAACTTTCGGGAGAGTCCCCCCTAGGGCGCAGAAGTTAGGTCGATAAATTCATCGAGAAAGGGCCCTTCGACTTAATGCAAGTCATCTTTATTTCCTAATGTCCAAAAAAAAAAAAAAAAAAAAAAAAAAAATGCATGTCAGAGCATTAAAATAGGCAGCAGCAGTTATTTGTAAGATAAGTGTGTGCACTTTATATGATGTATCCTCTTTAAATAAAATTTATTATTATTATTATTATTATTATTATTATTATTATTATTATTATGAATGACTGTACTTTCGGACTCCAGGGTTTAGACAGAATCGACCAGGTGGAAAGCAATCGCGACGGATATTTTGATGTAAATGGTATGTGTTGGCACGTTTGGGTCAATTAATGGACGTCATCTTAGCTGTCTTCAGATAATTTGCAATTTTTAAGTCAGTGATGATCAAGGGTATTTCCTTTGGCTTAATATAAGTTCTTGTAGTTTTTATAAATGGCAAGCAATGCAATTTGATGTTATGGTTTTCTTATTATTGTTGATAATTAAAATGTGCCTATGTTGTTGAATTTTGCATAATATTATGGAACCTTAAAATTAACAATAGAAGATCATTATTATTTGCTTGATGAATTTTTTGAAGCACTATTTTAAAATATTTTACAAAATCGTTAATAGTTTATATCTATAATTCAGCTGATGGATCGGGAGTTGACGCTTTTATCCTCGACACGTAAGTGGATATTGTTTCTTACCTTAAAGGCGTTCAGTGAACGTTAGTCCATTGTATACCAAAATGAAATGTCCCAAAAATTGCAGAAATTTTCTTTTTTTCATCGATGTATACAGTATAATCACCCAAAATCGTTAGTAAACCCTTTTTAGAGTAGTAATTTTCTCATTTTTCCGCCAAGAATGAAATCCGCCAGTTAAAAATATATACCAACAGATACACACACATTTACATGTATACTAACTTTATAAACATTCTATTCTTATATAAATTTGCATTTTTTATAATTAGCATATTTTACAAATATTCATTATATAATCTTCATATTTTATTAATACCCGTTAATCAATTTGCATATTTTATTGATATTCATTATATAATTTGCATATTTAATTAATATTCATTTACAGCGGAATCGACGTCAATCACCGGGACTTCAGCGGCGGTAGAGCTGTAGACTTCAAGACACTTTACGTACGTAGATTGTCCATATGATTCTCTTCAACTTCGCCATTTTTAATGTCAGTAGTGATATCGATGTCATTTTGGATTTTGTTCTGGCAACTTTCGTCAATGCTCACAACTATCCACACACATGACGTAACAGATATCACAGAATGTATGGAAAAAGAAATAAAAAAATCATTGGAGTATATCTGAAATCACCTGACACTAGTGCACATTTAAACTGCAAATGTACATTTCTTCTCTAATCAGTTTAAGAAGTCTGTTGACATAACCTTTTATAAGTATATGTCTTAACTACTCTATAACTAGGTCTTTCTTATTTACATACCTGATCGTTTTCAGTAAATCTTCACGCGGATGTTTAATATTATATGTGCAATTGCACAAAAAAGTGAAAATGTTTGAGGCGCGTCAGAGGTGCACACGTTTGTGTAATATTTGCACAGATGTTTTTATACTCTTTTTAATTCATTTCACAATAATTTTTCGCGTTGGCTATTTGCATTATAGCTGAAATAATTTGCCTTTTTTAGCCTCAGTTCAGTGAACCCCAGGGGACCAGTTCTAGGGATGGGAATGGACACGGAACACACGTAGCTAGTAAGATTTTTTTCTCTTTTTTTTATTCTTTTTTCTTATTGTTTTTTTTCTTTTTTTTTTTGGGGGGGGGGGGTCGGCAGATCACAATATTAGTGATGGCGATGGCCATGTCTCGCACGAAGTTTTATGTAGTAAGATGTTAATTTATATATATTTATATTGTGAATATAATCAGTAGGTTAACTCTTCAGACCATAGAAAATAAAACACTGCTCGTATTTNTTTTTTTTTTGGGGGGGGGGGTCGGCAGATCACAATATTAGTGATGGCGATGGCCATGTCTCGCACGAAGTTTTATGTAGTAAGATGTTAATTTATATATATTTATATTGTGAATATAATCAGTAGGTTAACTCTTCAGACCATAGAAAATAAAACACTGCTCGTATTTCGTAATAGGCCTACTATAGAATTGCCATATGTATTTACTGTGCAAGAACTAGTGACGAAATGAACATTTGTTCACCTTTGAGAGATTTTGACAACTACTACGCGTTTTAAGGAAACATGTTCACCTTTACATTGTTTGCGATATTAATCATGACATCATTTAATTTATCCAGGTACTGTTGGTGGAAACACCATGGGCGTGGCCAGAGGTGTCAATCTGATCGCCGTCAAAGTGCTCTCTGATCAAGGAAGTGGAAGTACCACGTACGCATATTTTCATCATCAAAAGATTTGCAGTCTTCCTTTTTTCCTTTTTGGCTCGTCAATTTTTATAAATAAAGTCAGTTTGACGGGCTAACAGCCGTGCTTGTGTGACGTCACAGAGGGGTGCACTCGTGACCATATGCGAGTCGCCATTATGTTTTAGAAAAACTCCAACACCTCTTTAAAGATAACATTAAGGGTCGCATGATCGAAAATAACAACTGAGACAAAAAAATGATCAGCTTGATAAAAAATTCTGTATATTGCCAATGAATTGCAAATTCTTTGCGAATACGAAACATGTTTTTTTTTTATTTTGGAAAATGTTAACAGGGGAATCATTGGAGCTCTAGAGGATGTGGCAGCTTATGCAAGGACTTCTGGACGCAAAGGAGTCATCAAGTAAGCTAAACCGGACCAATTATTTATCTTAAAATTCTATGTAGAGCGTTTGGTTTGCTAAACGTTGAGTTGTTATGAAACATTCATGTAAGTGCCAGTAGTAAGAACATGGTTACAATTTGCTCGTATTTGACCTTTTAAACGTCTTCATTTGTCTCAAAAATGACTTTTTTGATATCAAGGCCAAATGCACAACAGTAAGTTAAATACTGACACACTGTCATACCGGTATATTAGCAGTATACTCTGGTGATAGCAATTCTTAGTAGATTTTAACACTAATTTTTGTTCATATTTCTTACATTTGAATCTATTTGCTTTTCCAGCATGTCACTTGGTGGCACTGGAAGCAGTATCAACTCCGCAGCAAATGCAGCAGTACAAGCGGTTGGTGATAAATAAATGAATAAATAAATAGATAAATAAATAAATAAATAAATTGCTTCTAATACAATGTGTTTGTATGTACTAATCTTATTTTTTATTTTTCCTAAATCTGTGTTTCATTTTTTATTGTTATAAATGCATGTGCTGTTTTGTAGGTACAGTATAAATGATAATCATAATCACAATAAGGGGCATTATTGGGCTCTATTTGAACCTGAAGTTGTTGTCTATGATATGTGTGGTAATTCTTTTTATTGAACCAATCACAGGGCGTGACTGTTGTTGCAGCGGCCGGAAACTCCAACGATGATGCGTGCGGCTACTCCCCGGCTGGTGCTAGTGATGTGTAAGTACATATTTTTATCTTAAAACACATCTGCTAACCTTTTAACGAGTCTTTTATTCTTCTCCTTATAACTCCAATTATTATCGTTTAATTGTATTTTTTAAACTAAATTGGTCAATAACTTTATAAAATTCTCAAGATTAAATTTCTTGATTGGTCTTGTCGTGAATATCGCACGAGTCGCTGAAAATGAAATATCTTTATTGTAGTGTCTGTGTTGCGGCCAGTACAAACCAAGACGCCAAGGCTTCTTTCTCCAACTACGGAGAATGCGTAGATATCATTGCCCCTGTGAGTATAAAATGTTAGAGAAAAATAGGCCATAATGCAAGCAAATTTTCTCAGATATCTTCCAATTCTCAGTTATCTTCCAATAATAATAATAATAATAATAATGAAAAGTTTTGAACTGCTAACAAAATAAACGTGTTTGATATTCTACTGTAGATAACTGTCTGCATTGGACGAATATCCATGTGTGCGCATGCGTGAGTGCGTATGTGTGTGATTTTTAAAAAGTTGAACGAAGTTTTTAAAAATATAACATATACATGTAATTAATTCACGTTTGGCTTAAAAAGTTGGCAGACAATCCCCCACCATACTTCCTGCAATTAAGACTGGCGCGGTTGAAATAAAAGAGGCAGAATAAGGCACCATAGTCCCAGCTCCTCATCCCATGTGCAAAAATGCAAGATGTACTATAGTAGACAAAGCCTTCATTTTTTCACATGGAATTATAATGATGTGTTTCAGGGCAAAGACATCATTGGAGCTGATGCAGGAACTTCCTCTGGAACTGTTTCTTTGAGCGGTGAGAAAATCTCTCTCTCTCTCTCTCTCTCTCTCTCTCTCTCTCTCTCTCTGGGAGCACGAGCGTTCGTGTGATAATAAACTAATATAAGGAAGTTTTTTTCTCTACCACCATCTTTCTTGCGAAGAATATGTAATTGTATCATTTTGCAGTGATAAGTATACATGTACATGTTTTGGCACGTTTTTTGTATTTGTATATTAATTATGCCATGTTTTCTTCACTTTTCGGAAGAAAATAGATTCGCAATATTTATTTCAATTTTATTTCATTATTATTTTTTATTTGGAATGCTGCCTCGCTTTGCACAATACCTACTTACAGAATAAAGGGGGGGGGGGGGAATGAAACGTGAATTACCATTATCTGGCAATTCAAAGGGAATACATAATACTTGTAAAAAAAAAGTAAAATATGCAGTGGGGATCGAAAAAAGATGGAAAAATTGGGCCTTTTAGATTTGTTTGCTTAAATATACGTTGTAAGGTTTAAAATAAGTCAGTATACTTTTTTTTTAATTTTTCAGGTACATCTATGGCTGCCCCTCATGTGGTATGTCTCGGTTATAGATATATTACTTAATAAATGATCTTAATATTACACAAATCTTCACTCAAAATTACAGCAGTTACATTTTCTGATACAGCTATGCACCGATGCTTTAAAGTGATACACTTTGTAGTAAGCGTCGTAAAAACTAGAGATGAACGGAGAAAAATCTTGCACACCATCTGGCAATTGTTAACAACAGTTGAGTGAAATGTCATTGTGCGGTAAATTATTCTACTTTGCAGTTTAATTCTCGAGCCCTAACAAACGGTTTCGTCTCTTCCAGGCTGGAGCTGTTGCTTTGTTTTTGGAAACCAACCCGAATGCCACCCCAGCTGATGTCATGGACTGGCTTGTTACAAGGTTATTCTCTCTCTCTCTTTCTTTCTCCCTCTCTCTCTCTTTCTGTGTGGCGGAGCCGTATTCTCTCGTTGAGGGGACAGGTCAAGGATAAAAAACAGAAAATTTATAATGTGTCTTCGAGTTTCTCATGGATGAGCAGGTTTAAAAAGGCCGCGTTCACAACCAGTTGATCCGCGGACTACCCTGACCTCCCAAGCGCGCCGCCATCCACCAGGGGCAAAGCAATGAAAACTAGTTCGTCCGCGGATCAACTGCTTGTGAACACGTTCTAGTGCGTTTTTAATTTGACTTGGCTGGAATTACAGAAAGACTATAATGTTGGAAAACTGCATCATTTTGGAGAAAAAAAATTGTGTGTAAATAAATAAATGAATAAATATTCTCATTTTAGCTCAACAAAAGATGGAAATATTTTTTTGTTTGTGTGCAAATAAATAAATAAATAAATAAATAAATAAATTCTCGTTTTAGCTCGACAAAAGAGGCCATCTCTGGGTTCCCCGTTGCTCCAGCCCAGTACAATGCGTTATGCTGCCTGTTCGGCCTGGACTGCTGCGAAGGGTCTCAACCCGGTACTAACACTCCCAACAGGTTCCTCTATGTAGGACACGTATAAACTACAGTACCCAGCGCCAGCTGAAACCGTATCTTAAATAAAAGACTCTAAAATTTCAGCCCTTTTTGGAATATGGTGTAAAAATCGAATAAGTGGGAAAATAAATTTTGATTTGGCAAATGAAACTATTTTCTGTTTTGTGTTTTGTTTTCGGTCTCTCTCTCTCTCTCTCTCTCTCTCTCTCGCTCTCTAATTACTCCTTTGAGGGAAAAAGTCTGCGAAAGATAAGTTGATGGTTTTTATCTTACGGATTTATAATTTAGAAAATGACATAAAATCGGAAGTATTATTTTGTGGGAAAACAAATAGAGGCGCAAACGTTGAGGAAAAATATCTATAAGTTTGCTACAATCACTTAAATTGGCAAATTATCACGTTGCTTTTACTGTGATTAATTTCATTTCACATTGTATTTAGAAGATACTGCTTCAAAGAGCAGCAACTTTCAGTGAAAAAAATCAGTTCCTTAGCCCTCATAGTTCAAGAAGCCATCAAGATCAGAAGCTCGACACAATTTGTGTTGTGCTTTATACATGTTCTCAACAAACACAATAGGGCTCTGGTGCTCATAGAAAGAAAAATTAACTACTTGTAACATCGTGAGAAATTTAGAGAGTATCAATAAAATGACTGAAATTCCTTTTAAAATACGCCCGAAAATTGGTCTACACTTTGAGAGCATGAATTTGGGCTAACTTAAGGTAAATTATACATGTTTAATGAGAAGATACCAAAATATAGCAAGTATTGGTCAGGAATGTAAGTGCAGAAAATTTAGTATTTTTTACTTTGTTTGTTTGATGGGAGCAGGCAAAGTAGGGCATGAATCTTCATTAATGACCCTTTCTGTGTTAATTGAATAGGTTATCGCTTGCTGTGCCTTGAAATATTTTCGGAATTTCAATTCACCATTCCCTTTCGCTGACCAGTCGGGTCGATTTCATCTTGAACATAATTTATGTCCAAGATTTCATGTAGATCACTCCGACACGCGCTATCCTCTCATAATATGAGTGCATTTTTCGTGTTTAAAGAACCCGACCTACCCACTGTGTTCATTTTGGCCATTTGATAGCACACCTATTTATATGTCATGTGTCAATTAAAGACTCATATTTACGGTGCAACCTTGCATTTAGATCAGTTTTTCAGTGGATCAAGTCTGCTATTGTCACACTTTCAAAGTCACGTTTCATGCGACACCTTTATGACCTTCACTTCTATTAAAAAACGCAAATGTAGAATATGCGTATCGGAATTAATAATATTTACGGATACACGTATATATATTCTGTTGTCAGCGCTTATCATTCGTCCTTGTTAGAATATAGTAACAACCAGTCTATATGGAAAAGGTAATAATCGCACGTTCAATAAAATGAAATGTTCACCTTGTTGTCATCGACTCCGTTTTATTTATGAAACCAAATGAAAAAAAAAAAAACAAGAGAAAAAAATTACAGAGAAAACCGCTTAGAGCGATACAAAATAGAGATAAAAATCTCAAACCTGCGTACCCAGTTTTTTTAACTGTGTGTAAAGTTTGGTCGCCAGATAGAAAATGAAACACTCCCCCCCAAAAGCTACTCAACATAACCAATGCTTCACAAATCAATTCACTGCACAAATTACCATCTTGGAATCCCACTAAAGCTATTTATTTATGTAATTCCTGTCAAACTCAATTACCTACTTTATTCTCAAAACAACAGTTGTGTTTTTTCAAAGTTAAGTTTGCCATTTATATATTCATATATCACTTAATTTTTTTTTTACTTGTCATTTGAATAAAGGGTGGCCTAGTTTAGGGCTAAAATTATCAATGATATATTGACTTGTTCTTGTATATTTAACTTACCCCAGTCAAAGACGGAAAAGCAAATATGAACATTTGTTCTCCCTTTTTCAGAACCTTATCATCAATACAACATTTCCCCTGCTATACTATTTGAAAAGTGGGAAAATATCGTTATTCATACTTAACATTTCACGCCAGCCTTCGCTGGTGAAGTACAGAGATAGATAACATGATACACTATATATAGCCAAAACACGATAAAAATTGCTTCTTCTTTTCTTTCAAACATGTAGATCACAACAAGATATTTTTTTATCCTTGCCTTTCCTCCCCTTTCTCTGCTCTCCCCACCTTAGCAAAATATATATGGAGTCCTTCTTGTGATATACAATCAGTTACTTATGTACACTATAACGTGCTAAAACGATGAGTCATGTTCTTAACGGATCGTTAAACAGACATTTTATTTGAATAACCTCGACCATTTCTCGGATGACGGCGCATTCACGCCCTGTTTTTAGAGCGCCTTCCCAAAGAAATTATCCTTCTACGTAGATTAATCCAACTCCGCAGTGACTCTCGCTGAATGCTATAAGATTAGCAGATTAACAAGCCTCTTCCTGGCGTCGAATAGAATACGGAAAAGCTACAGAAGTACGTTGGAAACGAGGCCTGTTAATTCATCTATCAATCTGATTGCATACAAACAGAGTCCACGTATAGTTGGTTTGATCTACGTTGAACTATAGTTTCATTCGAAATGAGCCCTTAGAATCGTGGATTCCTACTCTCTGACCACAGACTCCGCTTGTAGCCTGTTTTAAAATCATTGGATCGGACCTTTTCTTCAATTCTGTACATTTTCCGGACGTCCGTGTGATAACAGTAGATTCCGTTGTTTTCTGAACCGTGCCGCGTGTCGCACACCTTGTTCTCTGTCAGTTTTATATAGGCCTCATTCAGAATAGTGGACTAGCTAGTTCGAGGATCAAATGTGGCCGACACGCTTGAATACTTCCCCACAAGATATCTGTTCAGTGTCTATTAGAGAGAAGACGACAAGCTTTGTAGTGGGTCATATTTGACCCTTGGACTAGTTAGTCCCCTATTCTGAATGGGGCCATTGACTGCCCTATGTCTTATGTTATACCACAATAGTCAACATGTGCTCTACAATACCCAGCCTAGTTATATATACGCTCGCACGAGATACCTAGGTTAAGGTGTAAGGTTACAGTCGGACCACAAAAGAACCTTCCTTAACACACTACTCCTCGCTGACACCTACGTGAATGACAGTGACAGTTACCACAACATAGACTGACAGAATAGTTAGGTATATTATATATCCTGCCTTTGAAGGGAGAACGCAGGTGTAAGTACGGGTAAGGGAGTGGACAGAGTGGTGTATTGCGTGATGTGGAGACATTCTTCCCCGGGATTATATATATATATATATATATATATATATATATATATATATATATATATATATATATATATATAAGGACAAGGAAGTGATGCAGAAATCTGTGCACAGTTTTCTTTTACTCTCTTATTAAGTGTAGGCCTACATTGGTGACACAGTTTAGGAGTCTCTTTGCATTCTACAGCTTGGAAATCGCCATTCCCCCCCCCCTCCCCCATCGAGANAAAACGTTTATAATATGGATGCTTTTATTCGTTCTTCAGCTGATAACATCGATAATTGTCTCTTAAATGTATTTCGACCTTTGAATAAAAAAATTAAAAACATTTTTTTTATGTTCCTTAACAAGTTAGCCTACAGATACATATAGTCAAGTGACCACACTTTTATTGGAAAATAGAGAATTTAAGTAGGCAAACGAAGAAGACAACATATCGGAACAAATTTATGAAAATTAATGTGTACATTTACTACCGTACGAACGTCACTTTTATCTGACACATCTAAAATAAATCATAAAAACACCCTAAAAACTTTTTAATTAGAGCTCTGTCTAAGGTCAAGTGAGGAAAAGACTTATCAAGGTATTCACTTACAGTGTAATTATAATGTAATTATAATGATTGAGTAATACCTTTAGTTAGCTACTACGCTCAGTGAAAACCCCTTGTTACACCTTGCGCCCCATTCTATATTGAACATATATTTACATATAAAAGGGACAACATCATGCGTTTAGCGTCATAACTATTGTTGCGGGCTCACGCTTTAGAAACTCTCGGCTCTGTATTGATCGCGTATTAGCACTGACGCAGAGGTGGCAACCATATTGGCGACATACACGACCACGGGGGCAGGAGCATTTATAATTAAAGATCTTTCAGAAATATTAGCGGATTCGTTCCACCATTTATGAGTATTTTTTGCAACATTTCATGAGGATCTCACGTTTAACTGTGACGGTGTAATCAAGCTTAACAAAGGTTGCTTGAACACGGATACAAGGTAACTGAGTAAAACCAGGCATCAAATTCAGTGGTGACATTTCTATGTAGCGGGTATAACAGGTGAGATTCATATTTTTCTAAGCGGGCGAAGACTGATAGGGGTATCTTAAGTTTGCATGGTAGGCTTGTTCAGACTTTCTTCATCTACTGGTAGACCACAGGTACTGGTAGATAGAACCATGCCAGTAAGACCACAAAAGACGGTAACTAAATGCCTGAAATTGGTGGTATTGATCGAGAGCTTTGTGGCTAGGGCAGGAGCCATGTTTCTCTGAAAGAATTCGCGGATGCTAGTAACTACACGAGAGCCGTCACTTAGATTCAGTTGTTTCCACACGTGGGTAGGTACAACTGTCTTCTATTTAGTCAAGACTGGGACCCACATCGAACTAACTGGATAGAGCTCACTTGTGCCTAGGCCTGTACCGGGTAGGTATACATTTGGGGAAATTTTGATGATTATAGTTACGGTTTCTGAGCCTTTTTTTCCAGTTTCTTCTAAGACTAACTTCACCATTAGTCTGCATAACGGCACGAGGTAGGGGAACCATATCTTCAATATGTGCCTATACTTGAATTCTGTATACTATTTTAGAGGGTAAATGAGCAAAAAAGATACTAATAGCCTCTAGTGTCTTCCGTAGGAGGTAGGATGGCTTGGCTTCAAGGATCTTGGTTGAAATTCAGGCTGGTCGTAAGCTAAAGGTGTAAAAATATTTCAGCTTATGTTTTATAATAATCATATATGATACCCGGTAGTTTAGAG